TGGGAAACAGCAAATTCTTGTTCTTCTTTTGACCAGGTGTTAAACCATCAGCTAGTTCTTCCTGAATGTGCTGGAATATTAAAAGTGAGTAGGGTTTTAGCTAGCAACCTTGGCATTCTTAAAAACACAGTTGTAGGATGCAGCTTGTAGTTCTTACTTAGCTCATAAAAGTAAGCAGAAAAACAGAGATTTATACTAAAAGGGATTATTTTATTACATTTTTATTATGGTGAAACCACGGAATGGATGTTGTTCATGTAGACTATGAATCGTAAGGTCAGATTAAAGCAGTAGAAGAGAACTGTGCTCTGGTCTTAGCGATTTCTGGGGCGTTACTGGGTAGGTTTGCATTGTTCTAAATTGCAAGTCATGCTGTGATTTCAGTCATACATATTTGATGTGTTTCCTTGCCTTTGCTCGCTTCTCTGGTCAGCTGTGAAAATCCACGATTACACAGTCTTTGTGTCAACGTCCAGTCCTCATGTTTGTGGTTGAACAGGGGCAGTGGAGTCTCCGTCCTTGGAGATATTAAGAAACTGGACGTGGCTCTGAGGAAGTTGATCCAGTTAACCCTGCTTGAGCAGGGAGATGGGAGTAGGTGGTCTCTAGAGGTGCCTTCCAACCTCAACCACTCCCCCTGCTTCTGTGCCTATCAGAAAAAAGGTCCCAGCAAACAGAACTTGTGAATTTTTCTAATGAAACTGCAGGATTGTTCTCAGGGAGACTCCTTGCTCATAAAGATAAGCACAATATTCAGAGCGTTTGGAAAGAACGATTCTCTTGAGATTTGCTTTACCATGCAGTTTTTTTACTGATGTTTGCCCATTACAATGGGCAATAGATAATGTAAATGCCTATTTATCTTCATCCCCTAACAAAGCAAAAGATGTGCATGGTTACATAGCAAATAGAAAGCAGAAAACTTCAGCAATAAAATATCTTAAGGAAAGAAGTGTCATTAAGCATCTTGCAAAATATTGTCAGTTATAAAAGGCCCTGTTCGTACGTACAAACCTTTCCAAGTTTCAGTGTGCTGACTCTGGACATTTTAAATAGCAGCAATAATAGTGTTATTACAATGATGCTCTAAGGAAAAAAAATGAGTTTGTAGAGAGAACAAGATCAAGCAAGTGGGTTTTTTTGGACTGAGAAGGAGATTGCCTGGATGAGCGCCTCGTTATTCTGACCATATTGATTTATGTAAAAAAGGCATTCAGAAACAGTGACATTCTCAAATGCATCTGGGGTCAAAGAAAAGGTTATATTTTTCACTGTTTGAAGGATCCAAATGGTGTATCAGGTAACAGAAATATTGTTCCTGAGCTGTAATGTTGTACTTTATGCTTTTCCAGTTTCTCTCACTTATAAATGAAGACATGGACACAGTGGCTAAAGGGAAATGAACCCGTTGTGTCGATAAAACTCTTTAGGATGCTGTCTTCAAGTAGAATCATCAGAAGCATATAACCTAAATTCCATAATATAAATCCTAAATTCCTTGCCATGATAAAACAGTCATAATACTTTAACCCATTTCTTTTCACTATTTTCCTGTCTCTATTAAGATTTTTTTAATATATATTTCCTCTTTATTTATTTCTCTGTTATTTCTTCGTCTCTCTGTGTGGGGTTGGTGGGGTTTTTTTGGTTTAATTTGGTTTGTCCTTTTTTTTTCCTTTTTTTTCTTTTTAATTTCCTGTGGTCAGTAGCAGGCCATTGATTTTCTACAGGGGCATTGTCTGGATTTCCAGCAAGTACCGCAAGGACCCAAATGTTTTCTTGGGCGGGATGCTGCAGGCAGCTGCCTCTTCTTATAACTGATTCTGATCCTGACAGCTTTAAATTATTGCTGTTTGCTTGCCTGCAAGCCTTCACTGAAACTGAAATTCTTGCACAGACCCTGATATGTCAAGAGATCTGTGGGCAAAGCATATGAAGAAAGCAATTTATCCGTCACTGACAGTCTGGCAGCGCATGACAATCTTTCAATGCCTGGTCAGCGGTGACCTGTGGCAGTTTCACGAGGTGTAATTTCAGGTCAGAGTTTCTATATGACCTGTAGACCTCCTATATACTTTCCACAAGTATCCCTGCACGTGTACAGACGGCCCATGAATGGTTTATAGCTCTCCTTCTGTTAGGGGTTTGTATATTGGTTATTATTTATATGTTCCTCGTCTAAAATGTAGCGGAACTGACAGGTAATCGCTTTGACTGAAATGGAGTAGATCTGATTTAAACCAACCATAAATTTACATAGGGGGTTTTCAGGAATCCTGATCTAGATGAAATTTTTGGAGAATGATCTTTTTATTAGTTTTTTTTTTTTTTTTTAAATAAGTCTGAAATAACCAAAATTATTTATAAATTGCATTCCTATTTGGCAAGTATTGATGGCTGAAAAAGACTCATAGAATACTAGACTATCTTGATTTGCAAGGGGCCTATAAGGATCATCGAGTCCAACTCCCTGGTCCTCGCAGGATGACCTAAAACTAAACCATATGGCTGAGAGCATCACTCAGGTGCTCCTTGAACTCTGACAGGCGTGCTGCTGTGACCACTAGAAGAGCCACCCATTACAAAGTGTTTTAAAATTAATGTTTTCTAAATTGGGCATTTTACTTCCTGATAGAATGTAGCTAGATACGTTGGAAAAAAATTAACCCTCCAGCAGCCCTGAAATAATTGAAACATCAATTCTGAAAGCAGAAGTGGTTTTGCATTTTAAGGTCAGAAGAAGCAGTGAATTAAGCACAAAATAAATTTTAGCCCACTTTCCTCAAAAACCAGAGCTTATGAATCTATACAGGTAGGGTGTGTGCTGATGTGTTTCCTCCTCTCATTCCCATGCCCTTCTTAATATTTGATCGATTTTAACAAATTTAGACTAAATAGCGCCATGAGAAGTCTCCTGAAAGGGTGCTGCCATTGGCTGAGTTTTATAGATTAAGAACTGAAGTTCAGAAAGCAGGTGGCAATTTTTTTCAGGCACTCAGACATCGGCACACACACCTAGGTCTTCCAACAGGATATTTAAGGACTTCCACCACTTATATGTATATTTTGAAGTCTACCCTGGGAGGACTAGACCCAACATCATTAATGGAGTCTAAAGGAAGAAAACCATAGTTGTAGGTTTATACTTCCTTTTATTTTTCTAACTAGCTCTTTTTTGGTCATATCTTCATGCTGGACCTGCTCCCTGCTGTGCTGGTGGGAAATGGGAGAACCACTGGGCCGTTCTGGTTCACATATTGTCAAATTTTGTCAAATATCTCCCTGATGCGTCATCCCAGAGTCGTTCCCAACCCAGATACCAATGCCAGTGTGTCCATCCATCCAAAGCTGGACACTAGCTCCTCCAGAAGTACTGCTGGGTGGGTATTTCAGTCCTGCTTCTGGCAAATCCCTTGGGAATTTGTGTCTCCTTCCCAAGAAGTGTCCCTGTGCTAACCAGGGGAGCTTTTATGTGTGCTTCTATTTTCATATTGTACACCAGAGAGCAGCATGTTAGAGGGTTGTTTTAATGCTGAAGGAAAGCGGGCCCTGAAAAGATTTTGGTTTGTTTTCCAAATTCCTAAGGGAAAATATAAAGGCCTTTTATATATCACTGAACCAGACAACAGCTGACAAATAGTTTCCTGTTTGGGGGAATGGAGATATATGTACCCCCTTCCTTACAATGCGTGTTACTGATTGAGCTACCAAGTGGCTAGCACCCGTTCTCCATTCTGCCTATGTTCTGAAATTTGAATTTTCAATTATCTCCTTCACTTTAGGTTAATTAATTGAACTGGAGTGAATTCAGTCAACTGCTCTACACTTTCTCCAAGCAAGATAAAATGCAACGTGTGACTCATGCTTGTTTACAAAAATTTTTATATAGTTGTAAATAATAAATCTGCATGTTTCTCTGCTTTCTTTTACTGGCTACACATCAGAGCTATTTAAGAACTTTCTGGAAGAGCAAACTACTTAAATTTTTACAGACTGTGACTCTATAGCCCTTGTATTATTGGCTTGTTCTGATTTTTAATCGATTAACAATATAAATCAAATTGGCAAAAGATACTGATCACCCAAGTGACTCTGAAAGCATTTTTCCATGCCTATTGCTAAAGGACCTTACAGCATAATGCAAGGAAAGAGAGTCCAGCAAAGGCAGGGTCTAAAGAAGATGCACAGAAAGGTGGGCATAGCGATGTTTGTCCCTATTTTCACAAAATCTGAACAAATCTAGGCTTATAAAATGCCAAATAGCCATATCTTTCTCATGGAAGTTAGTAATTATTTCTGAGTGCTGAGAAATGAAATTCCAACTCAGGTACAGAATCACAGAATGATATGGGGTTTGAAGGGACCTCTGGAGATCATCTAGTCCAACCCTCCTGCCAAAGCAGGTCCACCCAGAGCAGGTTGCACAGGAGCGTGTCCAGGTCTGTTTTGAGAGAACAGTTATACACAACTATTTTCAGTGTGGTTATGGAGCCCTGACTCTGCATTGAGATAAGAGGGACATTGCAAAGTCAGACTCCTTTTCACTGGTGGTGTTCCTTGTACCCCTAAGAACTGCATCCTGGTCTCCTGCCCATGTTGGGCAACACCTGGAGCTTCTTTTTCAGAAAACTTCTCTGAATTTGATTCCTTCCTCTGCCAGCAGATATCCTTTCAACCAAGAAAAATGTTCTGCTGTCCTTAAACTATTAACTTGTGAGGTAGAATAGCCAACTGGGGGCGTTTGCATGAGTCCACTCCTTTGCAACCAGAGGCCGTTAGCTTACCTCCCAGTCAGGGTGACTGCTTCTCATCTGGTCTCTACCCTGTTTGTTTTGTTTTACTTGTAGCTCTGCTACAAATTAAAATTTCCATGAGTTCAGCTCTGAATCACTTGAATACACAAACCTTTCCAGCTGTAGTTCACGGGGAAGGTCAACACTATAACTGAAAATAAATTAATTGAGCATAGGTGCTTGTGTCTCTGACTCTGTGTGGGTGTGGGCATCTCTGGTGAGGGTGGCTGATGTGCTGGCTGGGTAGGAACCAGGGGCAGGTAGGCATGTTCAATGGAACAAGTTCTTCTTCATGTCAGATGTTAGTGTAACCCTAACTACGATGCTGTGCTTGCCATGTAGGTGGAAAATGGATAATTCTATAGAAGGTTGGTAACAACAATTAACTCTGTACAGCTGTGGATATTTTCTTGCATAGTGTTTATTTGATTGCTTTTCGTCTCAGACTTCTCTTCCCCCAGTACACTTGTACTCAAGACACTTGATTTGGTCAGCACAGACCTATGAAATTACAAGGGAAAGATTTTTCTATGTGGTTAGTTGGTTCTAACATTCAAAGATGCCATATTCAAAGGAAATACGTCACTCAAACATCTCTGTTTTTAAACAAGCTGTCTTTAGCTGAAGCACTGGTGATTCTTCATGAAGAAACCTCGAGGAAATAAGCAGAATAGAGAAATCCTGGGAAATAAGAGGCAGTATTGCTCTTCTTTTCATTCCTGTTGTCTGCTTCTGGAAATTGGTTAGTTTAGGATTTAAGTAAGCCTAAAAGAAGGGACATCAGAAAGAAAATAAAATACATCCAAAATCCACTTTTGCATTAATGGAGCAATACCCTGAAAGCAAAATCCTGCCAATAGTTGCATCTGTGCTTTTTGCAAGATGGTGATAAAAAAGCAAAAGAAATCTCTTCATTTTCAAGATAGCTTCACAAAGAAAGCAACCAGAAACCAGACATGGAACCATCTCCCACCCTTCGCTGCCAGCGGCTGTTGCATATGATGTCCTTGGATGCCCAAAGATTAGGCAGTCTGATCCACCTGGCCCATGTAACAGGGATCAAAGACATTTCTCCATCTACAAACTTAAGCTCACGGTAAGTGCATCCTTTTACTAAGTCGCACAATATTTTCATAATAAACAGTGTTAGAGCCTTTTTTTTTTTTTTTTTTGGGTAATTACACTGAAGCACAATGTTGCTCCCGTCTGCCAGTTGTTACAAATTTGGTAAACGAAGGAAAGGCTGTAACACAGATTAAGAAAGACATATTTGTGAAGACTGTGTATCGTGAAGTGCAAGAGTTGACATTCCTTTCTTTTCTTTTTCAGCTCTCTGAAAATGAAGAGGAAAAATTGAAAGTTATGTAGTCTAAGAAAATTAATAGGCACACCTGGCTCTTGAGGGGGCAAAATTGTGGACCAATCCTCTCATGTGGCAATGCATTTTGAGCAACAAAAAAGGTATCGTTTAAAATTACTTCATGTTCTCAATATGAACGGACAGAACACGTGCCAATGGGAACTTTACATCCAGTTTTTATTTTCATAAATTCAAACTCCGTTAAAAAAACCCACCAAAAGCAAAAAAAAAAACCCAAATTTAATCTACGACTTGATGGTTTGAATATATTCACCAATCTGAAAGTTTCTTCTGTGGTATTTTTACTCATTTAATCAAATGATAGTCTTTGTACGGCAAGCACATTTTCCTTCTCTCTTGGGGTAAAAGCACTTCTACTCCCAGTTACTAACTCAGTTACAGTTCATTTACAGCAGAAAGTCAGAAATTAGATGAAGTTTCTGCATCATTCAGTCAGGACCAGGTTGGGCAGAGAGTAAGGTCACATTTTGACAGCTGGAAAGGCATCTCATTGTCAGCTGCAACGTGAAAGACCAGCTTAGAGACCTGAAACCAAACAAGTATTTTGCACTTGATTGGTGTGCAGTTTCTGTTCATGTTCTTGTCTGGTTCCACAGACATTAAATGAGAGTCTACATTTGTGGTGGCACACAGTCAAAATCGCTCTTGGCCAGCTGGATACCACATGCCTTTCCTGAATTCAGAGGATTATTACACTGGATCATTAAACTTCTAATTTAACACTCATTATACCTGAAGAAAGTATTTTCCTCTCTTGGTGCTATGTCTTTTTTGTATTTTTCTTAATGCAAACTTAATAACTACCAAGCCTTATCTTCCCCTTAAGAAGAAACCAACTGCTTTTAGTCTAACAGAAAACATGTACGCTTGAGAAATCATTAATTCTGTCATCCTAAACATATCGTCATCAACCCTGAAGTTTAAGTTTGATCACATTTGGCTTCTGAGTAACTAAATATATTCAACACCAAAGAAGGTGGAACAGTCATCACTGGGCTTTTCTTGCTGACCTCTCACAAGATGTCTAGTCATTCTGGCCAGGAAATAGTGGTCCATGAGGTCCACTGTTAGCAGGGTATACAGCAGCTGTTTCTTAAGTTCTTCTGTGCCCTTTCTGAAGTGTAAGACTGGCATTTTCTGGATGTATCTCTGTGTAGGCACATTGATATCTTTGTTAGTTTCCCAGCTGAATTTCTGCTCGAACTGGATTGATATAGCCAGGCATGAAACATGCACACTTTGGAGCACTCATCATATTCTTCTTTACCTCTAGATGTAGTAGTTTGTCATTGCAAAGGGACTTTGTTACTCTTTGCAGAGGAATTAGCCTGTGCAGGATAAAGGGTCAAATTCTTAGTAATGAAAAAGGTCATAAAATCATAGAATGGTTAGAGTTGGAAGGGACATTAAAGATCATCGAGTTCCAACCCTCCTCCCATAGGCAGGGACACCTCCCACTAGATCAGGTTGCTCAAAAACCCATCCAGTCTGGCCTTGAACACCTCCAGGGATGGGGCATCCACAACTTCCCTGGGCAACCTGTTCCAGTGGTCTCACCACCCTCACAGTAAAGAACTTCTTCCTAGTATCTAGTCTAAATCTCCTCTCTTTTAGTTTAAAACTGTTACCCTTCATCCTATTCCTACATTCCCGCATAAAGAGTCCGTCCTCATCTTTCCTATAGGCCTCTGTTAGGGACTGAAAGGCTGTCATAAGGTCTCCCTGGAGCCTTCTATTCCCTTCTTCAGGCTGAACAACCCCAACTGTCTCATCCTGTCTTCATAGGATTCACGGATTCATGGATTTGACAGAGTTGGAAGGGACCTCTAGAGATCATCTAGTCCAACTCCCCTGCTAAGCAGGTGCTCCAGCCCTCTGATCATCTGTGTGGTCCTCCTCTGGACTTGTTCCAGCAGGTCCATGTCCTTCTTATGTTGGGGGCCCCAGATCTGGACACAGTACTCCAGGTGGGGTTTCACAGAGCAGTGTTGGAGGGGCAGAATCACCTCCCTGGAACTGCTGGTCACGCTTCTTTTGATGGAGCTCAGGGTGCAGTTGGCTTTCTAGGCTGCCAGCATGCATTGCTGGCTCATGTAGATCTTCTCATCCACCAACACCCTCAATTCCTTCTTCTCAGGGCTGTTCCCAATCCACTCTTTGCCCAGCCTGTATTTGTGCTTGGGCTGCATCTGTGTGCAGTGGGAAAAGTGACATCGAGATTTCAGGGGCTCACACAGGCATTGCTAGAAAGTCACGGGAGCTTGGAAAGAGTCTGAAAATAGGATTGGAGTGCATGGAGATGGAGAAGGTTTGTGGTACAAAGAGGCTGTAGGGACACTCTCACCAAACTCGTAAGACTCTCCTGGTTTAGCTGTGCTCTCTATTTTCTTATTACATTCCAGGGAGCTTCCCTGCTTACCATGTCATTTTAAGATACTTGTTTCTTTCCTACAGCACCTAAGATGTCCCATTGCCTCAGGTTACATCCTTGGGAGAAGAGTGCTCTCAAATAAAGTGAAAATAACACTGTTTACTTAAGACAAAAGGGACTATATAGAAGCGAATATTTCTACAAACATAGGTAAAGAAATAAAAAGCAGATTTACTCTTCTTGCACCCAGATTAAATCAGAAAGGTCTCTGTCTCCTTTTATCTTGCAGACTTGCTCTAAATGCTTCCCTGATGCACACCTTCTGAGGAATTCTTTTATCTGTGCCTGTCTTACATTTCACGTTTACATGCATCAAAGGGGACCTATTCCTGGCAGAAAGCATTAGCTTATCAGAGCTGATCTTTAGCAAGTCCCTCAAAGGATCTGAATGGGTTTAATCTTTGCCCTCAACATGTGTACTTCTTTTCTCCTTATTCAATGTATTTTCAATCATTTAGCTAAAATGAGGGGTCTTGATATCTTAGATCAAGTATCATCTCCCGCAGTATTCTAGCTATCAATATCTCTTTGACTTAATGAAGATCACCTTCTCTCTGATTCGGTGTCTCCATCCATGACAGTTTATATTTTATATTTGATTATGGTGTATTTTACAGCTGTGCATCATGATATAAAATATGCTAAGTATAAACATGTAAATGGTGCAAAAGTGTGCGGGTCACTCCAACAAGTTAGGATTTAATTCAGTAGTTTAGATAGAGTCATAGATTTGAGACAACTAAGCCTTACTTTCTTCTGTGTAAAGTGACAGGCAGGAATAAGACTGGGAGAGATTCCTGGGGAAATACTCTTTTGATGAAGAGTACTGGGAAGTCAGAGAAAAATGGGCAGAGGAAGAACTTGAAGAAAGCAGGGCAAAAAAGTAAAGGAGATGGCCTGAGGAAACTGAGGAGGAGAAGAAAACATGGCTAAAAAAAAAAAAAAAGGAAAGGAGAAAAGGAGGAAAACATAGAAAGTAAAGGAGAAAAAAGTAATAAGATTAAAACTTTGAAGAGGAATGCCCAACAGAAGAAAAGGAAATGCATATTGAAATGAGGGCATGAGAATGATTGTACGTAGCCTCTAAATTTAGATGATTTATATTTTTCATGTTTTTCTCATTTTTATCTGAAAGGAAGCAGAACATTGCAAAGTAAAGACTGAGAGTGAAGAGAGACTCCGTGTATGTATGTGTATATGCACGTGTAAATGGTCTAACTGCCTTTGGATGGGGTGGAATAATGATGGATAGTGAAGGAGAAGAGTGTTGTCCTGCCACAATGTGAGCTTTACTGGTGACTGATGGATTTTGAAGTCATAATGTCAGGGTGAGCTTCATCATTCCAGATTTTGGAGGTCTGCAGTGACCTCTGAGCTGGTTGTCTAAGTGTCTTTTTATTATCGGTGGAAAGAAATATCCTCTTTTAAGGTGTGAGTCATCCAGTCTCCTCCATCCTCTCAGGATGAGGTGAATCCTGTCACAGAAGGATGTGTTTCTCTCCATTGGATAAAAATCTTATCTAAACCACTAACTTAAATATGGACCACTACGCTACATAATACATTCCCCACAATGAGATGAGTCATATTTGAAAGGTGTACCATTAATCCATATTCTGTTTTACCATGTGTACAAGAACATTCACATTTTTCATTATAATTGTTCCGTGTTGGCCGTGTAAAAAGAAAATACTGTATTCTCCTCCCCTGTGACACTCTTCTTGTCTTCCCTTCTGCCTTTCTTGTAGCATGGGAGACACATAAGGGATTCCATTCTTGCAGCTCAGCTCAGTGCACAGGAAACTACTGACGACACCTAGGATAGTACTATATGATTCCCTTGGCATTTAGTAGCATTCCAGGATATATTAGATATGCCCATTTGTCTTACTGCAGCTGCTGGCAAAACCAGTGATACAAGTCCCGTAAGCCCCTGGCTTCAAGGGAACTGCTTCTTTCTCAGTGAAAATATTTATTAAAAAATACACAAATACTCTGATGGCTACAGTTATCTCGGGGGGCTACAGCCTGATATGTTTGACTGATAACCTGCTTCGGATATTGCCAGAAACTGGCTGAGCTTCAGAAATCCCAGTTTCTGTCCCCAAAGAGTCTGAATGAGATCTGTCTCCTGGGAACTCCATCTCACCTCCTGAGAAGGTCTTTGGGGACCTCCATTGCAGCTCCTACTTTACTGTGAGGGTGGTGGAGCACTGGAACAGGTTGCCCAGGGAGGTGGTTGAGGCCCCATCCCTGGAGATACTCAAGGTGAGGCTCGATGAGGCCCTGGGCAACCTGGTCTAGTTGGGGGTGTCCCTGCTGACTGCAGGGAGGTCGGACTAGATGACCTTTGGAGGTCCCTTCCGGCCTGGGCAATTCTATGATTCTATGATTCTATGATTCTATGATTCTATGACTGGGCTGCTGGACGTCTGGTAGTTTTGAACAAATAATGAAGGTTGGTGACACAACAAAAAAGGAGTCGGGGTATAGGTATAGGATATACATATAACTCCCAAAAACCAGTCGGATAGACAAGGATGTGAACAAGACTATGTTTTATACCTTATTATTTCTGCTACAGATCCTTACATCCAGCCCTTCAGAGACAGATGCATCTTAGGGATGGGATAAGTGAAAGCCAAAGCT